CCCCCCCCCCCATGCGACACATTTTGAACCTAGGTGCGGCTGAACAACAAGCAGAGGCTGGGAATCCTGGCCTGCGCGTGCGCTGCGGGGTACGTCTATTGGCTGATTGAGTGCCCACTTTTGCTTTTCCTGCTGTGCGTCATCAAGTGTTTGCACTATTCTCCATCCCGAGGCCATCTATTTTGTTGTTTTGTTTTCATTGCTTCGTATCAGATCACCGCTGTTCATGGATTTCACTCCTAGTTCAATATCAGAGCATATTCATAGACCTTCGGTCTTGTGTTTGTGTTTCTGTATCAGGCCACTAATGTTCGATTTACTTGTCTCTCTTTTTGTTGTTGTATATTGACTAGTACGGACAGAAGTTACTGGGCAGAGAGAACGGAACGGTTTTTATTGTGAAGGCAACAATAATAACAACAACAACAACATGAAATCACAATTCACAGACTTGCTTCTATTTTTGGTCAACCGCTCCGTTGGGTTTTGCGATTTCCCTCTTCTTCCCGTTTGCTTTTCTTGGCCCTCTTCTGTGTTTTTGCGTGTTCTTGTCTGTTTGTTGATAATTTTGTGCAGGGTCGCCGCGACATTCGGTTCCGTGTTCGGCGGCACCCTCTTCAGCGTAGAGGTTACGGCTACGGCCTACATGGTCGACACGCTCCCGGCAACCTTCCTTTGTGCCGTTGTGGTTGCGGTGGTCTTCTGGGTGTCCGGGCAGGGGGAGCTCTTCGCCCTCATCGGCGACAACACGGAACAGGCTCAGTGAGTTTGAGTTGTCGTGTTTGTGAGTTCGTCGTGCTTTGCGCTTTGAGTGTAGGAGTAAGTTGTTTGCTTCGTTTTGTGAGTGTACGTGTATGCGTGGCGAGCGTGAGCGAATGTGTGGATGACTAAGTTTGTGCTTGCGACTAGTGAGTTTGTGTGCGTGCGAGTGTGAGCGATTTTTTTTTTCTAGAACAAGGCTTCATGCTTGTGGCTAGTGAGTCTGTGGGCGTGTGGATGTTAGGGAGTTTTGTTGGACTAGGTCTCGTGTCTTTGAATGAGGTTAGGTTGTGGGTGTCTTTTGATTGTTGGGATCGGCCGCGAGAATCGGCTGGCTAACGAAAAGTCGTCCATCTCAGGGCGGCCGAAAACGGAACATGCTTCTAAAGGGCCGTGGTCTGTAAGAGGGGAATGTGCGGCGCCCGAGTTGTGCCTGTGAGGGATTGTGAACTGTATGTGTACGATTAAGTCTGTTCTTGTGACATGTATGTGTTGTCATTGTTGGGATCGACCGATCGCTAACCGGCTGACCAATGAAGTCGCAGTACGGCCACAAGAAGAGAATTCTTCTGCAGAGGCATCATGCATGCGTGTGTGAATTTATGCTTGCGCGCGTGCGAGTGTGTCACGACTAGGCTTGTGAGTGAATTTAACCCACCCCCCGCCCCCCCCGGTGTTTGCCATCGGGGTTGGGTTTTCGTCGCTTGGCAACGACGTTGTAAAACAAGC